AATCTCCAGCAGGCAGGCTGAGCCTCCCCCCCCTCTTGACACAGAAGAGTCACACCCCTCCTTCACAGGGGGGCTTCTGAGAGCCAGTTTGGTGTTAGTGGTTAAGTGCGCAGACTCTAATCTGGGAGCACCGGGTTTGGTTCTCCACTCCTCCACTTGCAGCTGCTGGATGACCTTGGGCAAGCCATAGTTCTGTCAGAGCTGTTCTTGAAAAAGAACCCTTTCTGTCAGAGCTCTCTCAGCCCCGCCTACCTCCCAGGGTGTCTGTTGTGGGGAGGGGAAGGGAAAGGAGTTTGTAAGCCGCTCTGAGACTCCTTTGGGTAGCGAAGGGCGGGGTGTAAATCCAATCTCTTCTTCTTCTCTGCCATCCGTGGAGGAGGAAAGTGCACCCCACTGCCGCTGGGAAGCCAATGTCTCCCTCTTCTTATTTTTCTCCTTGGCCCAGCCGCATTGAAGGGATGGATTTTACCGTAGACGAGGGGACCCCGGAAAGGCTTTTCTCTCCGGTGTGTCTCTCCCCAGACCAGAGGCCCTCCTGGGAGTTTCGCCGGTGAGCATCATCACCAAGGGGGGGATTTGAACCAGGTCTTCTTTGACTAAGAATCGGGTTTTTAAAAGTCCACGTCTCGTCCTGACCCGGATGGCCCAGGCCAGCCCGACCTCATCAGGTCTCGGAAGCTAAGCAGGGTCGACTCTGGCAAGTATTCGGGTGGGAGACCTCCGTGGAATACCAGCGGTCGGGAGGCGGGGGCAGGCTTTACTTAGCCACCCCTCTAAAAGTCCTCCAGGCCCCCAGTAGGGGTCAGTCACCAGAGTTTTGAGGGGGGCTGCTGCTTTGCCCCTCCCTCCCTTGGGTCACGTCCTCCAACTTGGCCCTTTGTGGGTTCTGTCTGCCCTCCTCCGCTTCACCTAGAACGACTCTCCGGCTTCCTGAATCGAAGGGACCGCTCTGTTCTCGGGCTGCCTCCTAAGGAGCCTTCTGTGCATTCTGATTAGAGATGCGTCTGATTAAAGGCTGGATTTTTTTAATATTCTCCCACCGGAGCGTAGCTGGATTTTTTTTCCACTTTGGCTGCTGTGTCCCGGCAGCCTTTGGTGTCATCTGCAGCACCTCCCGTGTTCACGGATCTCCCCCCCACACACACACAAGTTATACAGGTTGCAGGCAAGGGGCTGCTGCTATCACGGCCTGATACTTTTACTCCCCTCCGCCCCACTTCCCCGTGGTCCTGACCTGGACGGCTCTGGCTAGCCCGCTTTCATCAGATCTCAGAAGCTAAGCAGGGTCGGCCCTGGTTAGTCCTTGGATGGGAGACCACCGAGGGAGTCCAGAGCCGCTATGCAGAGGCAGGCCATGGCAAACCCACCTCGATTTGTCTCTGTCCTGACCGGTGTTCCCTCTCAGCCCCGCCGAAATCTCCAGCAGGCAGACTGAGCCCTTCCCTCCCGTCTTGACACAGGGGGGCTTCTGAGAGCCAGTTTGGTGTGGTGGTTAAGTGCGCAGACTCTAATCTGGGAGAACCGGGTTTGGTTCTCCACTCCTTCACTTGCACCTGTTTGGATGGCCTCGGGCAAGCCATAGTTCTGTCAGAGCTGTTCTTGGGAAAGAGCAGTTTCTGTCAGAGCTCTCTCAGCCCCGCCTACCTCACAGGCAGTGTTCCCTCTAAGCTGAGTTAGTGTGAGCTAGCTCACAGAATTTTAGCCTCTCAGCTCAGGAAGGAGGGCTCCAGAGCAAGCTAATTGATGCAGCAGCCAAATCATTTGCTCACAACTTTAATGACAGCAGCTCACAAAGGAGAATTTTTGCTCACAAGACTCCACAGCTTAGAGGGAGCATTGCTCACCAGGGTGTCTGTTGTGGGGAGGGGAAGGGAAAGGAGTTTGTAAGCCGCTCTGAGACTCCTTCGGGTAGCGAAGGGCAGGGTATAAATCCAATCTCTTCTTCTCTGCCATCCATGGAGGAGGAAAGTGCACCCCACTGCCGCTGGGAAGCCAATGTCTCTTATTTTTCTCCCTGGCCCAGCCGCATTGAAGCGATGGATTTTACCGTAGACGAGGGGACCCCGGAAAGGCTGAGCGAGTGTGAGCTATCTCACAGTTTTCTAGCCTCCGGCTCACACATTTTTGTCTTCGCTCCGGAAGGAGGGCTCCAGAGCAAACCGATTGATGCAGCAGCCCCAGTCGCCCGCTCACAGCTTTAATTGCCAGCAGTTCACAGAGTAGAATTTTTGCTCACAACGCCTTAGAGCAGTGGTTCTCAACCCTCCTAATGCCGTGACCCTTTAATGCAATTCCTCATGTTGCGGTGACCCCCAACCATAAAATTGTTTTTGTTGCTATCGTAAGACCATCGGAAAGTGGTGTTTTCCGATGGTCTTAGGCGACCCCTGTGAAAGGGTCGTTCGACCCCCAAAGGGGTCGCGACCCACAGGTTGAGAACCGCTGCCTTAGAGGGAGTTTTGGTCCTGACCTGGACGGCCCAGGCTGGCCTGATCCCGTCAGGTCTTGGAAGCTAAGTGGGGGTCAGCCCAGGTTAGTACTTAGATGGGAGACCACCAATGGTCCCTCCAAGCTGTGGAGTCCTGTGAGCAAAAATCCTACTTTCTGAGCTACTGGCATTATAGCTGTGAGCGAGCCATTTGGCTGCGGCATACATTAGTTTGCGCTGGAGCCCTCCTTCCTGCGCTGAGACGAGAATGTGCGAGCCGGAGGCTTCAAAAACGTAAGCTAGCTCACACTAACTCTGCTCAGAGGGAACACTGGAGACCACCGAGGAAGTCTGGGGCTGCTACGTGCAGGCAAGCAGTGGCAAACCACCTCTGTTGGGCCATTGTCTTGATCTGGATGGCCAGGTAGCGTCGACCCTGGTTTGTACTTGGAGGGGAGACCACCAAGGCAAACCAGGGTCGCTACGCAGGGGCAGGCGACGGCCAACCACCCCTGAACGTCGCTTGCATTGGAAACCCAAAGGATTTGCTGTAAGTCGGCTGCAACTTGAAGGGCGCTTAGCACCACCGTTCGGGCCCAGCCTGGGCCGATCTCGTCAGAGCTCAGAAGCTCACCAAGGTCAGCCCCAGGCAGTGCTTGGAGGGGAGACCGCCAAGGCAACCCAGGGCCGCTACGCAGAGGCAGGCAAGGGCAAAACCACCTCCGCTCACCTCTTGCCTTGAAAACTCTGCCATCGTTTGGCTGCGCCTTGAATGCACTTCCCACCCCCACCGTCCCGTTCGCTTTTCTCGTACTGAGCCTCCGGCTGGGCGAGGGCTCCCGGGGAAACACAAAAGCCTTCCTCTCGCCTTTGCGATTTGGGGATCGGCCCCAAGGCAGTGTCGCAGGACTCCTTCCGCGAGGGTGTTTTCTACGCATTCTTAAGAGTCATCGTTTGTGAATACTGAAGGCAGACCCTCAAGCACAGGGGCGAATTCATCCCCCCCCCCCTTTCCTTTCTCTGTATCAGAAAGAGAGACTTGGACTGCCTTTGCCAGTCGGAGTTCTCTGGTCCTTCGTCTTCTCTGAGGATAATGGTGCCTTTTAGGGGTTTTGTGGAGGGGTTTTGGACCCTTGAAACACACCACAGTCGGAGCCCCATGGAGACCGGGATGTGTTGTCGCCATTTGCCTGATGACTGTGGTGTGGCTGAGGAGGAGGAGTCTAATCTGGGAGAGCCTGGTTTGATTCTCCACTCCTCCACTTGCAGCTGCTGGATGACCTTGGGCAAGCCGTAGTTCTGACAAGAGCTGTTCTTGAAAAAGAGCAGTTTGTGTCAGCTCTCTCAGCCCCACCTACCTCACAGGGTGTCCGTTGTGGGGAGGGGAAGGGAAAGGAGATGGAAAGCCCCTCTGAGTCTCCGAATGAAGGGCGGGGTATAAATCCCATCTCTTCTTCTTCTCTTCTTTCTGGGGCCCCAAATTCTTTGCTTAGGCGAGCAGAATCCAGAATCTTCCTGCCAGTGCCTCTTCGACTAACCTGCCTGTAGTTTCCTTGCCCTGATTTATTCTCCCGGAGGTGCTCCTTTTGTGGAAAGTTGGCTCCACCACCTCCGAAGGAGCCCCAGGATACCTTCCTGCCGCGCGGCTGCTGTGCGCTCCAGATCGCGCCTACTCACCAGGCAGGGGCGAGGGGCTTTGGGTCTGCTTCCTAGCCGACAGGGCAGCCTGACAGGGCAGCCTCTCTCTACGAACCAACCAACTTCTAAATGTGGATATTTTATCCTTCTCGTTCACAGCTGGCCTCACACTTCCTGCTGTCCTTGGCCGCCGCCGCCCTCGTCTCCATCTCTCTACCAGTAGGGGACGATCTGTAGAAGACGCTTGCAATCAGAAGTCTCGAACCAACCAACCAACCAAGGGAAATCAGACTCTGTGTTGGCTCTGTGGGCCTTCGCCATCTTCAGCAAATCAAGAACCCAGTCCTCTTCCTCTCCGGCGGAAGCTCCTCCCCTCCCCTCCCCGTGACAACATTTGGCCAACCGATAATACCTGGACTTGTTCTGTGGGGCTGCAGCAGGCGGGG